CCCAGCGCCAAAGGAAAATCACCAGCGCCAAAAGAAAAAAAAAGACGATTCAAATTGCAAATCAAATCCTCTCTGAATGTTTTAAAAATATCAATACATCAAACGACTGTTGAACAAGCAGAACATAAACTTAAATACGACGTCTCTGACTTCTAGCAGTCATCTCCCCTCTCATCCGTTGTGGCTCGCGCTGGATAGCCAGCTGATTGACTGTTGGTTTCTTTTGACTGGTTCATGACGCTCCGCTGACACTCACAAGCGCTAAATGAGGGTTGATTTTCCGTTTGGCGAGTTCATTTCAAAGAGTAATGCTCTTCATGGCGGTAAATATTTATCCCAACAGTCATGTTAAAACTAAACTAAACCGTGTATGATGTAGCTGCAGCTACTTGTCCCTGCTCCTCTGCTGTCTGCAGACGGGTCATCACGGGGGCACGCCGAGACGAGACACACCAACATACATGGCTGCAAACACACACACACACACACCGGAACGCCAACCACCGCGCACACCTGTTGACTTGTAGTGAAAAGGAACACGGTTGATCCGCGATCCGTATGGACCGAGTCGGGAACGCACGTTCAACTTTTCTCCGTTCACTTCCACCGTGTCTGCTTTTATCAACAATCAATAAGTTAACGACCGTAACGTCAGCCAGCTGTAGTCTGTGAACTTCTCCACACAGACTGTCAAACAGCAAATAGATTTTTATTATTTCTCAATTTCCTGATTTGATCAAATGATCCAAATTATCTGTGACTGAAATCTGTGATTACTTGACATAATACCTTAACTCAAATAAATGTACGTAAACAAATGTAAAACTAAAACACAATTTAAAGGTAAAGAGCAGCCATCATAGGAAGAGGGTGAAATGCACTGAGGATGTGACCCCCCCTCTCTCAATCTCATTACACCCCTCTCCCTCAAAATCCCTCTCCTCCCCTGTTTCACTGTTACAATAAAAAAAAAAAAATCTTTACCAGATTTAATTGTGGTTTCAGTAACTTAAGCATAATGATAATATTATTTATAAAATGGTCAGAAATAACAGGAAATGCACAGATTTCTGTCAAATAAGTTAATACAGACTCAGACTATACTGTTATACGAGGGTCGAACATTTACTACAGCGCGTAAAGTCAACCCCCCAAAGGCCCGTTCAGAGCCAGGAAGAAACCCTGCATAAATATAGACAAGTATTCACACAAAAATAGTAACAGTGTAAATGAAGCAGAAAATAAATGAGTAGCACAGACAGGTTTGCAGTTTAAGTTGCACAGTGTCTTGCAGGGCGACTGCTTCAGAGTCTCTGAAGGAAAGAATCCTTCCACAGTCTCCAGCATTCGTCAGTTTTATGACTGAGGTCATGAGTCAATTTCTCTAAAGGGAGTAAGGCTGCGATTTGTGAAATCCACACATCAACAGTTGGGATCTGTGGAGCAGACCAACGTAGCAAGATACACTTTTTTGCCAGAAACAAAAGATTAACTAACAGAACTTTTACATCTGAATGAAAAAGACCCTTAGTGATTCAACAGATAAAAGGAAGGGGATAATGGGAACAGTTTACCAGTTATCTCGTGGATCACAGAATGAAGCCCTCTCCAAAATGTTTGGATACGGTCACATGACCAAAACACATGAATAAATGTACCTTTATGTATCTTACATTTAAAACAAAGGTTTGAGGAGCTGGGAAACATTCTCTGGAGGCGAACAGGTGTAAAATAAGTTCTGTGGAAAAATGTAAAATTTTGTTCATGTAGGAGATCGAGGTGCACTTTGGAAAAATTCCACTGCAGATTCTTTCCCAATCTTCAACACTGAATGTTACCCCTAGATCACATTCCCACAGCGGCCTCAAAGACTCATAATCTGAAGAATCAGTGTACAACAGTAAAGCATAAAACTTGGAGATAATACCTTTAAGTGATTTGGCAGAAACCAAGACATTTTCAATTTCTGAGAGTTTCAATCGGATTAAATCTTTCTCCAGTAGCGACTGTGTGAAGTGACGGACCTGGAGATATCTGTAAAAGTCCTTATGAGGAATGTTAAAATCATTTTTAATTTGCTCAAACGTCTTAACAGAACCAGAGATCAACAGGTCTGAAAGATCTGATAGACCTTTGGAGGACCACTCCAGGAGGCCAATACTTCTGATTTGCACAGGAAAATCAGGATTCAATGCCAGAGGCGAACAAGCAGAAATAAAAGAGGGAATATTCAAATATATTTGAATATCTCTCCAGACCAGTAGTGTGTTAAAGATAATGTAGTTATTGTGAAGTGATTTCAATTGGTCTATATTGTTGACAAACAGGAGTGAGTTAAGCCGTCTAGGGCGACAAACTGAGGATTCAAGCCCAACCCATAAAGAGTCTTTGTGGTGATTGGACAGTTCTGTGTTTTTTTCCTTGTTTGGTGCTTGTGTTTTTGTTCTTTCAGAGGCTGGGTGTGGCTTATCAGCTGCTGGAGCTCCCTGCAATCACTCACCTGTTCGTCATCTGTAATCACCGGCTGCAGCATTTATACCCTGGTTCAACTCTCGCAAGCTGCCAGATTATTTCCGCCTACACCGTGGTAGATTGGCTTCGCAGCATCAGTAAACTTTTTGTGCTTTGGATACCTGTAACTAATTATTCCCTTGTCTTCTTTTTTTCCCCAGTGCCTCCAACTACCGAGCTCCAGCGCCTCACCACCCAGCCTCTCATTCAAGCCTCACCAGCCTTCACCAGCCTCACGTCATTAAATACCCCTTTACCCACTACCCTGTTTTCCGGTCTTGCTTTTGGGTACACTTAAAAACCTTTAAGGTCATAACAGTCTTGCCTATTTAGACACCAGTCTGTCATCATTTTAAGTTGAGATGACCAGAAATACAGCTTTAGATTTGGGAGGGATAAGCCTCCCAAATCTTTTGGTTTAGAAAATGTAACTCTCAGATGCTTATTGTTCCAAATGTATTTGGAAATACAGGAGTTGAGTGACTTAAAAAATGCTGGGGTCAAGTAACATGGTAGATTTTGAAAGAGGTAATTTAACCGAGGAAGGATATTCATTTTTATAGTATTGATTCTTCCAAGAATAGAGTTTGGCAAGGAGGTCCACTTCTGCAAATCTTTCTGAATTTTTAGGATTAAGGGAGAGTAGTTAGTCTCAAATAAATTATTTAAATCTGGAGTGATGTAAATACCCAAGTATTTGAGACCCCCTAAAGATAAATGGAAAGGAGACTGTAGAGGCTTATTATGGGGTATGTTGAAAGGTAAGGCAACAGATTTGCCAAAATTAATTTTATAACCTGACAAAGCATTAAATGAGGCTATAGAGTTCAAGACTGCAGGAATAGATTTATCAGGTTTACTAAGATACAGCAAAACATCATCAGCAAACAGGGAAATAACATGTCTATCTTCACCCGCTGTGACTCCAGTTATATCAGGATTAGTCCTGATGGCCTCTGCCAGGGGCTCAATGAAGAGCGTGAACAGAAGAGGAGACAGGGGGCAGCCCTGCCTACAGCCTCTGCGCACTGGAAAACAATCAGACAATAGGCCGTTAGTATTGACACTGACTTTCGGGTCAGAGTAAATAGTTTTAAAGATATTAATAAAATTAGAACCCAGACCAAATTTATCTAACACTGCAAACAGGAAGGACCATTCTACTCGGTCAAAGGCCTTTTCAGTATCCAGAGAGATCACAAGTGCTGGGTCTTTGAGGGTGTTAAGAAGATTCACGATATTTAATGCACGTCGCACATTATCCGTGCCATATCTAGATTTGACAAAACCCGTCTGGTCCGGTTTGATGATTTTAGGGAGCACATTTTCAAGTCCACATTGAGAAGACTGATAGGCCTATATGACGAGCACTCCAAAGGATTTTTGTCCTTTTTTAAAAGTAAACTAATAGAGGCATGCCTCCAAGAAGGGGGAGATTCACCTTTTAGAATATTATTGATAGCCGGCATGAGAATTGAATGGATCTCGGACCAAAACCTCTTGTAAAATTCTAGCGGAAACCCATCCGGGCCCGGGCATTTCCCGCTTGGCATAGCCTGAATCGCAGACCACACCTCCTCTGGTGTAAATGCAGCATTTAAAGTAGAACGATCATGCTCTGTAACGGTAAGTAAAGAGATAGTATTTAGATCAGAGGTTATGTTTAAATCGTTCTTCTCTGAGCTATAAAGGGATTCATAAAAATCTTTAAATGTAGAGTTAATAATCAGAGGGTCAAATGAAACAGTGCCACTTGAAGTCCTTATATGGCTGATCAGGCGGTCATTGTTCTGAGTCTTCAGTTGATGTGCAAGTTAGCGACTGCATTTGTTTCCAAATTCATAATATTTTTGTTTAGTGTATAGTAGTAACTTCTGAATATGACGAGTGTGGTCCAAATTAAGTTTAGTCTTTGCAGTCACTGGCGCTTTAAGGTTTGCAATGGTAGGAGATTGTTTATGCAGCAGTTCTAAATGATAGACTTCTCTTTCCAGAGTTTTCCTGTTACTCTCCTGAACTTTCTTTAGGTGGGAAGTATAGGAGATAAGATATCCACGTAAAGTGGCTTTAGCTGCATCCCAGATCATAGCGGGAGAGACTGCAGAGTCTTTATTGTCAAGCCAATAATGTGACAAGTTGTTGCGTATAAAATCACAGAAGGAGTCACAATTCAAAAAGGAAGTGTTAAATCTCCAAAATGGAGTCCTAGGAATATTGAACTCTGGCTTAATGTGCAAATGTACGGGGCATGATCTGATAAAACAATAGACTCTATCCGGCAGGCCAGGACTGCATGAAGAAACTGTTTAGGAATGAAAAAATAATCAAGTCTTGAGTATGAGTTATGAGGGTGTGAATAAAAAGTATAATCCCTAACTATAGGGTTCATCTGACGCCACACGTCTATCAAAGCGGAATCTGTGCATAAATTATTAAGGATAGAGGATGACCTAGGATTTGAAACTGATCCAGGGGAGGATTTATCCATA